ACCCAAGGTTCTCTTGCATTTCCGTTCACCAGGAAATGGGTTGAAAGCTGAAGCACAGAAAGGGATCATGCAATCGTTGCTACATTCCACGTGGATTGTGGAAGAAAATTGTCGATACGATTCTCTCAACTGCTGCCATGCTGCTTGTCTTCGAGTTCAGTTCAGAGAAAGGCAAACAGCCACGTTCTGTGATCAAACTGGCTGGATGTCACACCCTTTTCAGAGGACATTCCTGCCATTCGCGTTCCCACGTTCTGCTGGAAACTTGATGGAAATGGAGGTCCCTGATTAGTTGGCGGGAAGGTGATCTACACCAACAAAGGACTGTGGCACTCTTTCTTTGCAGGATGGTCCTCGAGAGCCATCGCCTCCAATGCAGGCGGGATCGCGTGGGACAAACGCTTTTTAACCTGCTTGGTTCTCATAAGGACACCAGAAGAACGGCCAAATTCCTGGCCGTTTTCTTCTTCATCAAATAATCACCAAAATGGTACCTTGCTTTTTTCAAGTGGGAATATCACTTCGAGGATGTGGTATTGGACGATATAATGGCGTTGCTAACACTCACGGTCGAAAATGATACCGGGGTAACTAATATCTCGTCAGTATATCCGCCCGTGGATGAAGGTCGTGCACCTTTGATTCTCGGTCTATCGGGGTGTCTTGCTGTGTTATCTATCCTTGTAGTGGTATTGCGATGTTACTGCCGAGGCCGGATAGAGAGGCATTTCTGGCATGATGACTATCTCATAGTGTTTGCCACAGTGAGACTCAAACCCATCCCTACTCAACAAACATGTTAATGTTCGGGTCGGCTCACTAACATCCTGATTCAGATATGTTCGATTATCGTCCTCGCTTGCTTCATAGCAGAGTCGTACAATGGCTTGGGGCGCTATATTTTGTTCCTTAGCTCTGAAAACCGCGAATATTTGGCGAAAATAGGATACATCCATGGAATATTTGACCTGCTTGGAATCAACGCCGTGAAAATATCTTTCGGCTATTTTATACTTCGGACAACAAGCGGAGTCAAGATTCGGAATTCAACTAAAGGGATGATTGGTGAGTATTACAACCTCAGGGTTATTTATCGGAATATGTATAGAAAGAGGTAGCTAACTAAATCTTGGTCAAGTGTTCGTCCTAGCCTTCACGATATTTACGACAGGCATGGCTATTTTCCAATGCGTTCCAGCTGCTGCCCTCTGGAATGCCGGCATAGAATCCAGTTCCCATTGTCTTTCACTTAAATCCTACGTTACCATCGGCCTGGCCACTGATTGTATGTAATATTCAAAAACTCATGAAAGGTCTTCGGGGCTAATTTCACAACAGCTATGAACGCTATAATCGATCTTATATTATCGACCTTACCTCTTCCCCTCTACTACGATTCAAATGCCAGCAGATATTCCCGAGTGGCGTTGGTGGGAATCGTTGCTCTTGCATATATGTAAGTAAAATATCGTCCGCTTCACTGGCCACGACTTTCGGTGCCTCTGGAACTCTAATTTTCTCGATGCAGAGCATGCAGCGCTGCCATTATAAAAATTGTTCGTCGAGCTCATGTGCTCACGACTCCCAGTTCGTGGCGGTAAGTTAATGCTACGCCCTCCCCTTACTCTGGAGAAAAGCATAGCTGAGAGGCCATTAGCGAAAGCGATTACACCCTTTGGACTAAGTATGATCAGCCTTACAACATCTGTACTCCAAAGCCGCTCCTTACCGTTACTTCTCTTGCAAATAACTCAAAAGGGTAACAGATAACCAAGCTAATCAACCATTTTTCTCCTTCCAGCATCGAACTTCAAATTGGAATTCTAGCGGCTTCTCTACCCACTCTGAACCCAATGTTCACAATCATCGCCACGTTTATAAGCAAGACATTTAAGACACCTAAATGGCCGACAAACAACCCCGACACGCAGGAACACAGTTCAGCCTGCAACCCTATTCCAATGGGTCCAACTCCATTGCGAAGACTTAGCCGATCAACCCTCTATCGTCACAACGCCAGTAGTGTTACCACCGAGCACTCCGACCCGGAACAACAGCATATCACTAGATATCCCTCAAGCCATTATAAAGTCGAAGTTAGCGCCTCAAGACTCTCTAGTTCTAAAAACAGTAGCCAGCGAGATGCTATCCTTGCTGGTGCACCGTCGGGGTTTCCAGCCATAATGAGAACTACTGATGTATTTATACACACGGCAGATGGGAATAAAAGAGGTATTGACGAAGGAGATGTTGATAGTGCAAGTGCGGAAATTCGATCTGTTAGCTGATGATGGAATGTCTCTTTGATGAATCGATGTTTTGGGAATGGAATGGGTCGGCGCTTCGTGTACGCATGTACGGGGTTCCTGAGCGGTGGTATACGCAGTCCAGACTCTCTTATGTTTGCCGCTTTCTTCCTCTTTCTATAACAAATCTTGCACATATGCTAGGTGCATTCACGTCTGTATGTATCTATATGTATATAAATATGCAGCTTGTATACCTTGTTCTGCAATTTTGACTTCCTTTGTCGGTCTTGTGGATTATATGTAAGCCATGGCACCAAAACATATACCAAAGAGCGTAAAATCAGTACATTTAGGTTGAATTAAGAAAATGAGATAGGTATCTCAATATATCACGCCTCGGGCTAAGTGACACAGCTTAAGTCCATACCTCAAGTTGAACTGGTTGGGGCGGGGCCAAGCCTGGGCGAAACCTAGGATCGTGTCCGGGAGCTATAAAACACTTTACCTAACCTTAAAAAACTCTAAAAAAGGGCCCTATTTCGACCCCAATCAACAACACTGGAACCGACCGAAGTCATCACCTAGTGGACGAGTTCAATACCTTCTGGATAAATCATTTGATATGCATTTTATTCACACTTACATTACCAGTGCACCCATGGATATATCCCTTTCTTTAACTGTCTTGCTATCTTGCGCCCTTCCTGTTCTTTAACGTTTTTTTTGTGTCCAGCCTCGATCTTGATTGGTATGAAGGCCTAAAAACTCATGAGCAAGAGGGCGGAAAATCGTTGCCTGATGGCTCTTTCTAGCCCGTTTGTTCAGGTCATCTCTTCCTTGTATATCAATAGATTATAGCAAATAGCTCATGGGTTGCATATAAGAACGAAATGAGTGTTGGTTGACTTGTGTTCTCTGGTTCAGACATAGGAGCGTAGCAGCAGGAGTGTTTTCTACAAACTCTTCACAAAAAGGGATTTACGAAGTAAGTAATCATTTAATTACAAGGATAGCTATGTATCTATCGTTTGCCACGCGTAAAAGCTCAAGTGACATTGAAAGGCGAAAAGGTGTGGTCGAGTTTGAATAGAAGAACAAGTAGACTGGCAACAAGCTTAATCTCAAAACAACCATCTCGTCATCAGGTACACAAAATAGAACTCCGGTATCCCCCTCCTAAATAAAATAAATGCTAAAATTTGAACAAGAGAAATGGCGTGTATATGTGTCGGGTCTCATAAGGGTCGAACGGCCGGATGTTGATTTAAGACGAGGACAGAGGGCATTCATGAAGAGTACTTGGTGCTTCCACAATATACGATCCAAGGTTGCACAGTTGAATCTTCCCTGCTCGCCAAGATTCAGTGTGATCTTGCAGCCTCTAACCTCAATAGGCTGACCCAAAATCACTCTTCATCACTCCGGATTTGGCGTGCGGCAGCGTCGGGGTTCCGCAGCAACAGGCACAGATATAGAGCAAACACCTTGCTAGCCGCCGTCACTGCAGTCTGCACAAACACCCACACGGTAAGCTCGACAACTGTCACCGCCATTATCGACGTGAATACAAGGGTACCGGCGACATAGTAGATGCCCCAAGCCAGTTGGACAGGCCAAGCTTCATCTGCACCTTGTACCGCGGAGACACTACCAGTTGTCAACGAATCAGACCCGCCCTTCACCTGTGTCCGTCGCATCGCAAACAAGGCATGTACAAATGCCGGGAATACACCAGCGATGCACCAAGTAACTGCAAACACGGGGTATGGACAGCCCAGCGAGCTGCGCTTGGAGTATATTTCCACAACTGCCAACACCCCATACGATACCACCAGAAGCAAAAAGCTAGCGGCCACGCGGACAGTCGTCCAAATGCTCGGGCGCAACCCGACATTGGCGAACATGGCCCCTTCCATCCACTGTAGGTATCTCTGCACATGAACGCCGTCAAGATCACCTACGACCGTCGGCTCAAGTCCCAGAGCGCGAACGATGACCGCGGCAGCAAAGGGCAAGGGAGCGGACACGAGTGCAATTCGTCGCTCAGGCCAAGCGACGTCCTTGAACGTCAGTGGGATTAAACCCATGATTAGCGCAGTGGCGCCAAATTGCTGTTTGCGCGCCTCGTCGGCAGATTCAAGTGCGCATATAGATGTGATCCAGCAGAGTTGGTTGCTGCCGCTGTAGAAGTGGAACCATGGTTTGAAGGGGGAGTACACGATGTCTTCGTTTGGGGGGCATGAGGTGTTATCTGTGATGTTGTCGGCGGCGGAAACAGTGAGAGACAGCAGGAGGAGGAGGAGGAGGAAAAGAGAGACGATTGGGGTTTTTTGACCCATTTTATAATTTCCTTTTTTCACCGTCTTCCCAGCTCCCAACTAATCTTTCGGGCGATCGTTTGGAAAAGTGGAAAATATCGGATTGTGTATGTTAAATTGCGCGGGGGAATCTAAAAGGGCCTTTCCCGGTGATGCGCAAGAAAAGTCAAGAGAGCTGCGATATGCTCGACATGTCAACACAGACGAAGGCTCCTTTTTAAAAATAAAAAATAAAAAATTGAGGGCGCCCGTTGCCCAAATGCAACCGGTTAGTCTGCGCACATAGCGCGCCATCTTTAGGCCAACAAAGAGTCGGGCCTTGTAGAGTCTCGACGAAGGATGATTTGCCGTAGCCCGCCTCGATTTTCACTCTTGAAGGGGCTTAGGTTCACAAGAAGGGGAAAATGGGGAAGGATGGAGCAGGAACCAGGGGCTTTCAGGGACCATTTGAACGATATCTCACGGATTAGACCTGCAGGTTTAAATCGCTTGACACTCTCACTAGTGGATCTCTGCCTCTTGTCTTGCGGATCACCAACCATTTCCTCAGCGTACTCTGTAGGCTCATCCTTCGCTCAAAACCTGAGGGATCTTGAATTATAGATAACTTTCTCATCTGCTTGTAGGACCGTCACAGTTCACGACGTCTCCATCATCCAGCACCCTCTTCGGATGTCTTTTGAAGCCATGGATGGCACTGCTGTGGGAAGAGACGCGTTTACCAACGACGGATCCTGGCATCAGCCTCATTCCTGTGGGATTTATCTCACTTGCCGGAAGGATTGCGCCTAATTATTTCCAAGACTTTTAAGGCGGCATCTGAATACGAGACGAATTCTTGGACTAATTCCGCTAAGCTCTGTTCCCGTCCCTAGACTCCTAGAGCTTCCATTTGGCAAAGGATCTTTGTCCTCACATGATAAGGTTCTCACGAAGGAGAAAACTTCAGCGCTTCCAAATCGTGCAAAGCTTCTTCTTTATCTGGGCCCCCACAACCGTTTTTCGGGCCTGAAATTAGGGGCCAACGGCTAGCCTAAGCGACGGGTTCTTCAAAATCCTTCAGTTCACGCATCCTCTGTTCGAAAAACTGATTTCCGAGCGGATAGTTAATTGGCTTATTCATATCCAGACTGAGTGGGTTAGTCTGGCAGCCTATATAGAATCCGTGTACTCGGTATAGAGAGACCCACAGGTATAGAGATCCCTGAGTATAGAGGGCTTGGGGATAGAGACTCCAGGATATAGAGACTCTCTGGGTATCTAGTAGGCCCCTTAGGTCTAGAGCCATCTTTCAATGTAAGGCTCTAACTGTGCCATGCTTACTCACTCTCTGTAGTGAGTGCACCACAGTGTACAGAAAACCACACCATAAAGAAAATATTTTGAATATAGTAATCTTCAAAAATTAATTAATAATCATCACCACATCTATCTATAATATAAAGATTATCTATATACTCATTAGAAGGTGTAGAATCCACTGTAAGTTGAGATTCTATAGAATTATCTTATTATGATTGAGTGACTGTAGATTTTATAGATTTGATTTCAATTGATTAAAGAGTCTTATTAAATGTCTTTTTCATCTCATCTGCTCTACAGATTGCAATCTTGTGATTGACATTCTTAATAGTGAGAACTTCACCTACTTGCATCTGTCTGCAGAAGAATTTAATGATCTGATGTCTATTTACTTGATAATAATTTACAAGTTCACTCTCACAGTGTATATTCAATTCTGCCTGAATCATGCTACTCTTGAAGATCTTGTTCAACTGTCTTATCAAATCAGATATAAGAGTATTCTTCACATCTTCTAAGGTCTTGACTGCTGTATTAATTTAATGACATAGTTTTATAATCATCTCTGAGAAGATTAATTATAAGAAGACAGTTGATAATTAATCTGCAGATGATGAGATAAAGTGATTACATACATTATTATCATCATTGTATATGTTGAGATCTGAGACATTATCAATGATAAGAGATCTCAATTAATTGAGAATTATATCATAATTAACTGAATATATTTCACAGTTAGTAAAGCCAGCTCTCACAGTACTAGGTTTGAATACTTGCAGTCAGATGCTCTTCAGATTAGTAAGAAATTATCTATCATTATACTGCTTATATCTGTAGCAAGCAGTCTCATTAACTGTCTTTATATAATAATGCTTATACTGCTGAAAAGATACATTATCAAGAGATTGTAGAATATAACTTATATAAGATAAGAATTCAAATAGAATAATCTTATAGAGATCACAGTATTGAATAAATTCTTCTATAAGATGAGAATTATAATTATTTATTAATAGCAGTTGATGACTGCTCATTTGACACTTTTTTATCATCTTATTAAACTGCTTGATTCATTTAAATTCAATCTCATTATTTATAAAGTCAGACTCAGATATAGTAATAGTATAGTTATTAGATAAGTTGAAGTATGTATATTAATTCTCTAAATAAATCTTCAATTTTATTATAATTAATGAATTCAATACTGTACTATCTGCACTGACATACTTTATCACTGTTATTAACTCACAGAAGTATGATAACTGTATAATAGAATTTATGTCTTTAAAGATAGTTATAACTTACTATTCATATTCTTCTTCTTCTTGAAATTCAATCTCATCAAAGTTGTAGATATCACAGTGAAAAAATTAATATTAATTAAAGACAGCTTTATATTAATTAAATCAGTTAATAATGAAGCTTATATTCTTATAAGACACTTATTTTAAATTCATGAGTTTTTGCTTAACTCATTTATAATCTGACAGATGTTTGATAAATTAATATATTTATATCTTACTTACTGTGAGAGATGCAGTCTCTGAATCTATATAATACTGTCTTAATATACAGTTCACAGCAGCTTTGATATACTCAATGATGAGTGAATAAAAATTAATATTTAATTGATGAATTTATATCTTAATTGTCTCTTTCTAACTGTCATTCAATGCTCAATTCAGTGAAATTCTTATAGTTCTTGATTTCTTCTCATTGATTCTCTCATACAAGATGATATATAAGACTTTGAATTCTCATAACAGAGATATGATTTTTAATTTTAAATTGCTTTTATACATGTCAACAGCTCTTTACAACTGCTTCTCAGTGTAATTAGAAGATTTAGACATGGTTATAATTAATGATGATTATTTGAAGATGAAGAATGAAGATATTGAAAATATTTTCTTTATGATGTGATTTTCCATACACTGTGGCGCACTCACTACAGAGAGTGAGTAAGCATGGCACGGTTATTTCATAACCTCCAATGAGAAGACCTTGATTACGCAGCGTATTAATGCAATCAGTATCATCAACACTACTATATAAAATACGTATTTGACCAAAATGTCACTATAGGCTGCCGTAGTTAGACCGGAGGGGTATGCAATGTCGTCCACACTTCGATATTGAGTTAGTGAGCGAGAGAGCATGATTCGTGAACTTCACATGGGAGGCGCTTTGGCTCTGTTTGCGATAATCGGGAGAAACAGAGCTGAATTTTCCTTCGCTTGTTGCACAGTTCTCTCACCCATCAAGCGGTCAGCTTGCCATGATGTTAGAGACCCTTATTCACCACGTATGAGAAATGACGAATCGTGCTTTACAAAATCTCACAGACCGCTAGATAGAAGCCTGCTATCAACATTCTCGCACAGTTGAACGTATCTGGGTGGTGGTTCTATTACTGCCGTGACGAACCGGAGAAACCCATGTCTCAATCTCAATGTTTTCACATCTGTGATGGACATGTTGTGTCGAGTTTGGTGGTGCTGGTTGCTAGCTTGAGGACCATGAGATTGACCCACCGACAAAACAGGGCTCAAGAAGAATCAAGCAGGCAGGACTTTATAAACGCGTTAAACAATGAATAACGAGGGTTACATGTGTACAGAAGATAACGATACTGCATCAGAGGCGAGCTGACCAGCTCAGCGTTTGTAAACAGCTAAGAGAGGATCAGACTATATCTCAATAGAAGAAATGATTTGTGACAATGATCCTCCCCGCCCCAACCCAACCCCACCCTCCCAAAAGGAAAAAAGCAAAAAGAAAACTATATAATAACTAACGGAGAGGAGTGTCACGATATACAGCAGCTATTGGCATATCCAACATTATAAAATGGGCTGAAAGTTCAAGAAACTTATTTTCCGCAAGTCTAGATAGATATCTTCGTTCAAGGTGCCTTGCAACCATAGATCTCAAAGTTCATTATTCCGTCTTGCCCGAGGAAACACGGGAGAAATGAGGAAAAATGAGGAAAACGAACAAACACCCGGGGGATGAGCATTTGCGTCATGGCTGCACCTATCTAATCTCAAACCTAGACTTCCAAAGAGTCTTCATCGTCCGCTTGAGATAGCAGCGATATATGTAGGTCATCGGATTACAGTTATTCATTTGGGCAAAACCATGCGTGGAGTATATCACTGTGTAATCCAATTTTTCCCAGCTCCCTCAATCAGTTTCACCATCCGAGTTCCGGTTGCACTGACCTGAACAACACAGCCGGTGAAATAAAAAGCTTGAATCTGGAAAAAGTTGCACAAACTCAAGCTCTGGCGGCTGGAGCCAAGAAAGGGAAACCTGCAAAAATATTTATATCACGTGATGTTCTATCTTTTGAAGGGCGGATATCAACCGAACATCCGAGAGAACCGGATAGAAGGCGATAAATCCGATATCTTTGGGCGTTATCTGTTTCTGTTACATATTGACAAGCATATGTGGCAGTATACCTTCCACTCCTGTAGGCTGTAGTTTTGCCTGTGCGATATCTCTCAGCTCTGACAATGCACGCAATTCGGAAGGTTTGCCAGCCGCAGAATGGTTCCGGCATTGGTAATACGGACGAAGCTGGGCGAGAATCACGTCGTCTTCGCCTGTGTCTGGCCACGATGGCGACAACACCGCTAGACTATTTGCGGTCTTCGACCGACCGCGGGCCGAACGAACCCAATCAACGCGCTCTGGTTGGCGGATTTGAAGCAATGGCTGGGATGTTCCAGGTCACGGGACTCACGCGACGCCACCCTCCGAAGCTTGGCAGGTACGGCGGTCTCTTCTGCCCCAAATGGCCATGAGAAAATCACCAAGCTGCCGCAAAAAACACAAGCAAAAAAGAATGGGTCCCCCGTTGCCTGGGGCCAGAGGATTATTATTATTATTTCAGTCTTTCCTGACACTGCCGTTGCACCGTGCAATCCGCGGAGAAACCGCCCATCGAACCAAGCGGAATAAACATGTCAGAGGGGGGAAATTTTTTCACCCGCTATTATTATGTTGACCGTGAATCTTCAAATCCGGCATGTCATGTCGTAATCCGCTGGTGCTGAGGCGGCCTGTAGTTATCGTTCTATTATCGTTCTGACTCAGCTCAACGGCTTCACGCCCTAGGCATTTTTATCTTTTTTTTTTTTTTTTTTTCTATTCTGTCTCATCTTCCCCTCCTCGAGTTCCCATAGACTCTATATATATATAGAAACTGTTTGACCCCTCCCCAACAGTTGCATGGTGATCCGGGACTTTCATGCCGTCTTTCCGTATTTTTTCCTTATATTTTTTTCTTCCTTCTCCTTGAATGATTCTCTTCTACTCTCTTTTAATCATCTCAACGCTTCCACTCATTCTGAAGACTGGATATACCGATGCCCGGCTTGTACGATTGTGACCTGGATATTGACAGGCTTCTCAATCGTTATGTTCCCTATCCTCGATGGCATCTTATACCCCGCCCGGTGGCCCATTTCTTAGGTCATAGGACACAACCACCAAAAAAACCCGGCAATGTTCTGGTCATGCTCTGGTCCATTGTTGGTGTGTTCTGCGGGCTGGCCATTGTTGCTGCAGTAACAAAAAATATTCCCCGTTTCCAAGCACATGGTTCTTTTACCATGATTAGCAGCTTCGTGAGTCGACGACCCGTCCGAATAACATCAAGAATTGTCCTTCTAGTCCCATTCCAGATCCTTTCATAGTACCCATTGGTTCGGGCAAAAGACGCTGTCATATTCCCTCTTGATTTGATTTCTTTGTTTGATCTCTTGCTTGCTTTGTCAATAGTGAAGTGTTAACCAGTTTATCAACAGGGTGCTACTGCCGTACTTGAATACTGCTCCATAGATTCCCCACTCGCACAACCTCGAAATGCTTTTCTAGGCCAAATAATCGCATCAGTCATAGGGGCCGGGATCGCGAAATTGTTTGCCTTGCATCCTCATGCAGAATCTTGGTTCTGGCTTGGTGGGCCGGTGGCATGTGCAGTCGCTGTTGCGGCCATGATATTCAGCAAAACGATACATCCACCTGCCGGAGCCACTGCGTTGATGGCATGCATAGATCCGGGAACCAGACGCCTGGGATGGCTGCTCATTCCTCTTGTGATGCTTAGTTCTTCGCTTATTCTGGCCACAGCCCTTCTGCTAAACAACATCCAAAGGAGGTTCCCCTTGTACTGGTGGACGCCGGAAAATCTTCGTCCAGCCGAGAGCCAGAGAAGGACCTAGAGGAAATGGCATCTTCCGATGACGATGAACGCACGCCGACAGGGAGTGCGATAATGATACGACAGATGTCAAAACAGGACCAGTTGATAGTGATACGAGGTGGGCAGGTGATAATATCGGATGGCCTTGTCCTTTCACCCAAAGAAGTTCAATGTTTAGACCTGTTGAGTAAACGGATATAGACGAATAAAACGGTTAGAGCTCTCTGTCAACAAAGCCTATATAGAATAATAAATGGAATGATTTACGACCTTCAAAAGTCTTGCGATCAATGGGGTTTATCTAGGGTCCCTGACTATTCGAATTTAGGAGTATATTACCATTTCCTTCGGCAGAATCATTAGCTAATTCAGGTCCCAGTGAATATGAATGTGAATTCATACCTGGCTTTGAATCAAGACCAGAGTAGTGGCCCGCAACCCCAGTGCCTACATGTAGCCTCCGCACCTGTGCATGTGAATGCACGTATTTGATGTTCCACAGTTCCCTTCCGCAACAAGCCTCACCCCAATCGTAGCCGTCTCACTTTGCCTTTCGATTTCCGCCATCCAGCAGGGCTATCAGGGTCGAATTCAGAGACAGGCTCACACAACCGACGTCAACACGACCCGCAAGCGCTGCCAATGTCCACCTGCCAAGCTCGAACCACACGTGACTGACAGTATCACGTGCATGTTCCGCGGCTCAAAACGCCAAGCTGCGCAGTGGCGTCTTACCTAAGCCACGTCATTCCTCGAAATTTCAACCTTTTTTTTTTTCTGTATCAACTCCGACTTCGACTTCAACGTCAACAAGTCTTGTCTGCGCCCAAACACTCTCCCTTTTTCCTTCTTTTTCTGCTAACGAGTTTCCTTCCGGACATACACATATCAGTCTCCTTTTCCATCCTATTAAAGAGACTGCCTCCTCCTGTTTTACTCAAAAGTCATCTATATTTGTTTTTGTGTTAAAACTAGACTTCTCGGGGACCTTGTTTGTTCATCCCACTATTAGGGCTTTTTTCTATCGATAAGGCCAAGACCCCGCTATGTGTGCACTCCCCCTCCCTGTCTTTTTCCATTAATTCTTTTTTTTTTTTTTTTTTTTTTTTCCTTCGCCGCCCCTTCTCAGTATCGACATAGATTGTCATACATTTTTCTTTAATATAATTTCGATCCATTTCCATCGAGCACAGTTAGGCATATTCGCTAACGATATTGATCGCCGTTTTATATTTTTCTTAATTTTGAAGAGAAAATCAGGAATTATTAATACTTTGGTTTTAATTCGAGTACAACGCGAAGAAGAAGCAAAAAAGAACACAATCGCAAAAATGGTATCGGCATCGAAGGCTGCTCGTCAGGCAAAGCGTGCTGCGGACGGAAAAGATGACAAGAAGAAGTCCGCCACATCGAGACTGTCATCCAGAGTCAACTCGAAAAACGCATCTCGAGCCTCATCCGTGAACGGGGAAGAAGAATTTGTCCCCGAAGAGTCGGCAACCTCCGCCTCCAAGTTGTCCGATGTCAAGAAATTGACCTCCCAGATGGATAAATTTGGCTTGTCGGATCGTGTAACCACTGGTGTCCTTGCGTCTCTTCCCTCCAGCCGTGACGTCAAGATTAACTCCGTCTCCCTCGTGTTCCACGGCCGGGTACTTATTACCGATGCAATCCTCGAGCTCACCTATGGCCGACGATACGGCCTCTTAGGCGAGAACGGTTGCGGAAAGTCGACACTGATGAAGGCTATTGATAAGCGAGAGTTCCCCATCCCCGAACACGTCGACATCTATCTACTAAACGAGGGTGCGCCACCTAGTGACCTAGGAGCCCTTGAGTGGGTTGTCAAGGAGGCAGAGAACGAAATGGAGAGATTAGATAAATTAGCAGAGGAGATATTGGAAAAGGATGGCCCGGAGAGCCCTATCCTAGAAGATCTATACGAGGTGTGTAGTTGCAGCATCGCCACCCGCTTTTTAACCCATTTTTCCTATTTCCAACTGTGAATGCTAACATCTCTTTTTTTTAGCGTATGGAAACCATGGACCCTTCGACTTTCCAAACGAGAGCATCCCTTATTTTAACTGGCCTGGGTTTCAATAAGTATACCATTAAAAAGAAGACGAAGGATATGTCCGGTGGATGGAGAATGCGAGTGGCCCTGGCCAAGGCTCTTTTCGTCAAACCCTCTCTACTCCTCCTCGACGACCCAACGGCCCATCTGGACCTCGAAGCTTGCGTGTGGTTGGAAGAATACCTCAAGAAATGGGACCGCACTCTCGTCCTCGTTTCCCACAGCATGGACTTCTTGAACGGAGTTTGCACCAACATGATTGACATGCGTCAGAGCAAGCTGATCTACTATGGTGGCAACTACGACGTTTACCACAAGGTCCGCCACGACCAGGAAGTCAATCAGATGAAGGCGTACCACAAGCAACAAGAAGAAATTGCCCACATCAAGAAGTTCATCGCGTCCGCCGGTACCTATGCCAACCTTGTCCGACAAGCCAAATCCCGCCAGAAGATCCTCGACAAAATGGAGGCAGACGGCTTCATCCAGCCTGTCGTCCCGGATAAGGTCTTCACATTCCGTTTCGCAGATGTTGAGAAGCTCCCGCCCCCAGTCCTCTCATTTGATGACGTCACATTCTCCTACAGCGGAAAGCCAGAAGATAACCTGTACGAGAACCTCGACTTCGGTGTCGATATGGACTCCAGAACCGCCCTTGTCGGGCCAAACGGTGTTGGAAAATCAACCCTCCTCCGCATCATGACGGGCAAACTCAGCCCCACCGGCGGCAGAGTCTCACGGCACACCCACTTGAAGCTCGGAATGTACAGTCAGCACTCTGCAGAGCAGCTCGACCTCACAAAATCCGCCCTCGAATTCGTCCGCGACAAATACCCGGAGAAGAGTCAAGATTACCAATACTGGCGCCAGCAGCTGGGTCGGTACGGGTTGAGCGGTGATGCACAAACCGCCCTCATGGGAACTCTCTCGGAGGGCCAAAAAAGCAGAATCGTCTTCGCGCTACTGGCCATTGAGGGCCCGAACATGTTGCTTCTCGATGAACCTACCAACGGCCTCGATATTCCCACCATTGACAGTCTGGCTGATGCTATCAACGCGTTCAGCGGTGGTGTCATTGTTGTTTCTCACGATTTCAGGTTCGTATTTTCTGCGTTTCCTTTTAATATTTTAAAAGCTTCCTTTGACCCCGTTTCCTCTCTTCTGTCATTACCTCCGTCCACTAATATGTTCCTATAGACTCCTCGACAAAATTGCCAAGGACATCATGGTCTGCGAACACAAGACCGTCCGCCGATGGGATGGTAGCATCGGAGAGTATAAGGACCACTTGCGAAAAAAGATGTTGTCCGCTGGACAGGTTTAGATAGATTTCATTTGTATGTTGTTTCTTTTTTAAAGTTGGAGGCTTTTTTTTTATCCCTCTTATTTTAATTCGTGCCCAGTGGGTTTTATACGCTATCGGTTTGCTGGCTCTGGTTTTTTTTTTTTTTCATATACATCTTTTTTCTAAAAAAATCAAGCCTGTTGTTGAATTATGGAGCATTGTGCCAAACGGCCACGCGAAAGAGAGACTCATTTTTAGTTCATTGGACCCAAAAGATTTCCATGGTTTATTTATTTATTTATTTTTCGTCCACTTTTCATTCTTAGTCTAATTGTTATTCTGCGAAAGAAAAAAAAGAAAAAAAAAATAACAGAACAAAAAAATCCGCGAGAGAAATGCATATAGAGAATACTCCGTGCTCCGTACTTATTTTTGCCCATATCAACAACCTTTCTCGCCTATATCGGCGGCCCCCTCCTTCCCCACCCCAATTCCCTTTGTTTTTGCCAACTTATGTGTTTGGGGTGAGGAAAATCTTGCGCGATTACATATATTCCTATTGAAGAGGAATGAATTTATGATAGGTCTATCAAAAGGGCAACAAAAAACAAGACCAAATGAATGAATGAACGCAAGAAAGAAAGAAAGAAAGCAACGAGGTCTTTGCAGTAGGCAAATTCAATTGGATATTAATTAGCAGTTTATGATATGGGTATACTACAGTGTATAAATTTTTCTGACGATATACAGTATGTACATTTCACTCGGTTTCCTCTTTCCATCCAGACAGGGCACGGTGGCAATGAAGCCCCTTTTGTAGTGTGCGTGAAGCATATTAAAAATGGGAGCCATATCTCTCACAATGGTAGATTTTATTCCGATTACTCCATGGGTAGATAGGTGGATAACGGAAGTGTAGGTAGGTGTAGCAGATCTTTTTCCCCCAAAAAACGCACACCACTCCTGCCGGTCACCACAGGGTAACCGTCCTCCGTACTAATTATGAGTACTCAAATGTATATGTACATGTACAGTACCTACTACCGCCCCACCATCAATCCACCGCCCCACCCTTCCTCTTCCTCTCCTCCATCAAATCCCCCCCAAAAAGCCTCTGCCCCTCCCTCTCAAACCGCTCCCTCTCCAACTTCCGCTTCTTCGCCGCCCGCTGCAGTTCCGCCTCATCCTCACCACCAGGACCAGTACCCGCAGCACCACCAGCACCAGCACCACCAGCACCAACTTCGCCAGCCGCAGCCGGCGTCCCTGCCCCCGTCGTAGCAGCAGAGGACCCCTCGCGCTTCGCGGTGCGGTTTAAACTGCGCAGATCTATCTTCTCGGGGTTCTGGCAGTGGTAGAGTTTCCTGCCGATGCGTTTGAGGTTTTTCATCGTGGCAGGGGCGGTTGTGGGGGTGTGGGTTGTTTGGTAGGTGGAGAGGGTTGTGGTGCAGGCGGTGAAGATGAGGGGGAGTTTGGTGCGGAGGGCTGTGAAGAGGTGTGAGGATGGTTGTGAAGGGCTGGAGAGGCTGGAGGAGGAGGAGGAGGTGGTAGTGGATTGTGGTGATAATGGGATGAGTTTTGTGTCGATGTAGAATTCCGCTAGTGGTTTATCGGCTAGGAGTAGGGCGGAGAGCCATATTTGAGAGGGCGTGTAGAGGAAATATACGTCTGTCAACTGTGCGGCGGAACGGAGGATTTCGCGGGTGTTGTGATGTGCCTTGGCGATGCGGGAGGTTATAGAACCACCACCACCACTGGGCTTCGCGTCCGCCGTTGAGGATGGAGGCAGTGGGGCTGGCGGGAGCGATTGGATGGCCTTTTGCAGACCAGCTGCAGTTTGCTCTGGGTGGTGCGGTCCCGGCGCGCCCTCCCCGCGCGCAATGGCGTTTAGTTCCATGATCCCACCTTCCAAGCCGCGGAAAGGGTGGCGGACGTCAAAGGTGAAGCGGAGGCCCTGCGTAAGGAGGAATTCGGGCGCGATGATATCCTCCGGCGTGGAGTTTGGGATGTGTTCTGCAAATGCACGCAGGGACATGTAGTAGTTTTCTGTCTTTGTGGCGAGGAAGAGCGCGCAGGGCATGATGGATTTGGGGTGGTAGGTCTTGCGGGAGTCGCTAAGGCCAAAGCGACTGAAGGGCTGAACTGCTGTCTTTTTTTTTGGTATTCTGTTATTTTGTAGGTAA